CGCTATCATAAAGGAGTGGCGCTAAGATATTGTTGCCACTGAACATATACGACTCGAAATGTGACCCACAACCAACACTCAAAACTTTAAACATTGTGCCTCATAATTATTATCACCTAACCAATGTTATTACAAATTAAGAAAAAACACTCTCGTAACACTGGTGTAAAACTCAAGTAAAGACCCACATAAACCTTTAAATCTACATAGCCATTACAACCTGGTATAAAACGCAAACATAGACCCCGATAAACCTTTAAATCTACTTAGCCCTTACAACCTGGAGTAAAACTCCAACATAGTCCCACATAAACCTTTAAATCTACATTGCCATTACTACCTGGTGTAAAACTCCAAAATAGACCCACATAAACCTTTAAATCCACATAGACATTACAACCTGGTGTAAAATCCAATATAGTCCCACATAAACCTTTAAACCTACATAGCCATTACAACCTGGTGTAAAACTCCAATATAGACCAACATAAACCTTTAAATCTACATAGCCATTACAATCTGGTATAAAATTTAGACCCACATGTACCTCTTGACAGCCCTTGTAAGACACCCGAACACAGCCATACCCAGTCAAGTTACAGACAATGATGCACTCACATTATTGATAAAAATCCATTCTTCGAGAATGAATACAGTCATAACATTGATTGCATGCGAGTAAAACCAATTCCTCGGGAATGCAGTTTATACGCTGCCAGTAGTGTGGTATTGTCGACAAGGTGGTTGTCAGGTATTACCTATTGACGCGACGTAAACAAAAACTGTCAAAACACATCGAGAGGGAATACAGTAACTATACATGCAGGTTCACATCACACTCAGGTCATAATGAACTTTAACAAGACATGTAAAGCTCACATGTTATTTTGCGACCGATTTTGCTTAATGCCAATTTTGGTATATTGCGTGTCAGATTATATACGTAACCAAATTAATAACTTGATATTGTTACATTGAGATCCACAATACAAGTAGTGTGTGCATCACTTAATAGTAAATTAATTACCCCAATTTAACTAGTCAGGCTCAATTAGATTTTCCTGGACGATGATCATTTGAGATTGTCTCAAAATGCTGGTCAAGCAAATGACCTCCAAATCAATCGGCCTCACGAACATAACACCCTTGCGATACACTGGCGTGTCTCTCCGGATCCATCGTAAACGCTGAGCACACTCAAGATAGGCCCTATATTCCGTCGCAAAGCATGGATACCTGCAGTTCGCAGTGGATGCCCCTTGGTCTGAGTGGACGCTCAACGTATGAGCATCAACTACTAGTAGAATTTGCAGCCACAAATCAGTTGTAACCCGATTTGTACGTCATTTTGATGTGACGACACACGCAGCGCCTCGGACCTAGGGCGATCTGCAGCTGAAGCTCACAGGTCCACAGATTGTAATCTGTCTAACGACTACAATCCAGGGCTGCTGCATTTTCCAGCCTTAAGACTACCCATCACACTCTTCCGTTGCTAATTTGTTGAAAGACGGCAAACTTGCTTTTTTATTCAGCTGGCAGGACCCATGCAAGTGCAATCCCCAGACACGTGCAATCACAAAAGTAAATAGTAGCTCGCTGCACGTGATTGTTGTGTTTCACGCTCTTTGCACGATCTGTGACTACATTTTTCACGTCAGTCGCCAAGACCATACTCAATTTCCTGCATGTCATTGTCTCGTGTATGGCACAAGAACTCAAAAGAATCAACCCTTACAATTATTACAAACAATGTGGGTGTCAGATTTATGTTGAGTTATAAGAATGTCATGTCAGTGTTTACTGAGTGGTACCTTAAACCTTCTACTGTAGGCAGGTTATCCTGAGGCTTATCCTACCACGGGAATCCCACAGGAATCCCCTTGGTTTAATCAGAATTACGTCACTTTAGAATGTCAATTGTCATTGTAGGTGGAATGAAATGAACACTTAAAAATGAGATGAATGACAGTTAAAATATTTTGCACACAGTTACCTGAACTTTTTCACAGACTGTACAGAGCAGCTTCATTGGTGCCACTTACGTGTGTTGTAATTAGTATAGTTGCGTCAGCCTTACCAGATTAAAATACAAAATGACCAGTTAATTGCTGGTTCATAACCATCTGCAACAGCAGACGCATCATCATAATGGTTTCATCAAGACTAAGGATGGATATGTATTTCTTTCTCACTGGACTTCTTACAACAATGCTTGAGGCGAAGCCTGAAGATGTTTTTCTACAAGTAGAAGTATTCGATTATGCTAAACCGGTTTAGGTTTCGGGAAAACCATGCACTCGATTATGTCGAAACCTAAAACTGGGTTCTGAGACTTCAAAACCATCCCCGAGGCAGGTTTCGAAGTTTCGGTTTCGCATTCTCACACAACAAACAGGGCGGAAACGAAAGCGCCAAGTTCAGCGGATCTTGGTGGCAAAATAGAGTAGCAGTATTTGGAACCCAATTAATGATAAAAATCAACTGAGAACTAGGAAAATATTATTGAAAACAAGTCTATTGAACATTTTAAGTAACTTGTATATATATAATTACATGTACGCAAATATTTACCTACAAAAGCATCTCATCTATTCATTATTTGTTAATTCACTGATAAAATGAAAAGCATGTGCTGTGAACCAATTCGTTCCACATATACAGTAGCTGAGACATTTTTGGGGTATCCATTTTAAAACCGGATGGGGAAACTATCCACTCGTTTATAAAACTAGAAGCTAGTTTCACTTTGAAACCATGTATCCTAAACTAGACACTCGTTTATAACAGGAGAAACCAGTTTCAAAAACCAAAACCAGTTTCGCAATAATAGAACAGGCCCTAAGATTGCAATTATATAGATTTCATCGTATGATAGCGATGCAATCTTTGTGTCCAAGCTGGTCCAGACAGAAGCTGGAAGGCTTTTCTCCCACAAGTTATATACTTTGCTCAATATAATGTTGTGTACATATGTGTAGGTTATGTTTACATAATCAAGTAATTAGATTTGGTTTTGGCTTGCGGTTCAGGTTTATATAGTTTTTTGGTTGTTTCTACAGACACAAAGAGCAGCCTTCTAGCTTTAAGGTTGCGATCTGCAAATAATCGGGTTTTGTCTCGACATCAACGTCATGTTGACGTCATGATTATAGATTTACTCAACTGGAATACAATTATATGCAGCAGTCAAATCGATCCCCTCTTACTAAAAGCATGGGCTGCTATAGCCCAATTCCGACACGGTTCTTTGAGGGTGCATTGATTCATAGTGGTAGTAGTGGTGGTTGTGACTGTGGTATTGGTTTGCAGGGGTAGTAGCCGTTAATGATGTAGCAGTATCTTGTCCGTGTTGCTGCTGCATAGATCCAGTAGACCCGGTACTTATCATAGCTGTACCAACTTCACACGCACAAGAGGTGAGGTGAAATTGGGTTTAACGTCGTGCTTGAGAATATTTCGCTCATATGACGATGTGAATGCGTGTGTATGTGTATGTGCGGCTACTTGTACTAGCCCAGACTTAAGCTGGTTTTATAGTCACACGCACAAGAAGTCCAGAAGGTATACTAGCGCCCAGTTTATTACACTCAAAATGCGATCAATAGCCGAGATATGAGATATTTCCATAAGTTATTACATGGGCTCTCCCGGTCTCGGCATGTGACTATTTATAACCAGATTGTATGTCATACAGTGCTGCATTACAGCTAGAACTTTGACAAAGGCAGGGTGTACACACAAAGGGTGAGTTTAGCTGACACCTTTCCTGCTGATGTTCTGTTTCTTCTTTGTACATGATGAAATCTGTGTTTAACCACTGCATGAGATGTTTTCTATCATGTGAATATATTTTTCAAACAAAACGATTTTTCAAACATAAACATTGTGATCGAACTAACAGAAATGGATGGGAAAATTATATAATATTTAAAAACCAGTAAAAGCGTGAGTAAGCTACCAGAGTGCCATTTCTATTGTACGCATTGTTGGTTTAAAAGAGTGTGAAGTCTTTTTATCTTTCTTTGAACCGACCTTCACATTTGCAAATTGCAAATTTATTAATAGATCTTTAAAATCGCAAATTTATTAAGGGCGACTAACATTATCGGACGTATTTGGTTGATAGCATCGTTTCCATCTGGGTTGTTTGGTTCAAACTCGATTATTTACATATACCCAGAAAAATGCTGATTTTCACATTAAACAACAAGCAACGGAAACAAATCACGGATACACGTTTTGAAAACACAAAGTAGAAAATACCGGCAGAAAGTATACTAACGGGGAAACAGTAACTGTGAATAACATAACAGCTATTTATACATTGACCATTCAATGGGAATATGCACACTTGTCTTGATACTACATTCTCTTCATTTCAGACTGATCTAACGGCCCACCTATTGCCATGGCTGACAAAGGTATTTTCCTATCCAAACATTGGTTGTACAAGAAAGCAGCATTGGATCTGTAAGCCAAATGTCGGGAACCACGTTAAAAATACATTATATGCCCAACACTTTTGGTTTCTGTACAACATACAAAGTATTTATGAAAATAGTGATGGGTGCAACCCATAGAGCAGATCATGGTTACCTTCTTCGCAAACACCTGGTGTCATGTTAGATTTTAGGTGATGTTATTCCTGAGTTTTAGCCCAAATCTGTTTTGACGCACATTTGAGACGAATTAGTCTCTGGTTTTCATGGATATTTTAAACTGTGCTGATTGATCAGATAGTTAGGACTCGGGTGATTCCTTGTCATTAGCTTAGCATGTAGTCAGAACTGAGCAAAACGAGAACATTACAATCATGTCATTAAATCTTTAGGTTATGATCATATTTATGAGCACAATATTTAGTAGCATGAAAATCAACACTTATAAACTAGTATTTGATCTTATCACTCTCTAATGGCAGATGGTTAAAAGTCAATTATCAGTATAACGTGATATAATTGCTTAGAAGAGTGTGTGAGACTACGATTATTCTCTTCACAGGAAATCATACATGTTTTCTGGACAGTGAAATTCGAATGGTACTTGTTGGAAAGACTGGAGTAGGTAAAAGTGCCACAGGGAAAACAATAGCTGGAGCTGGAAAGATGGAACAGATATTCAAAGCAATGGCAATGGCGGTGTCTGTTACAAAAACATGTCAACAACATTCCTTCAAACGCTTTGGGTACGACTTGCGACTTGTTGATGTCCCATGTTTTTATGACAAAAGGGGTTCACATGAAGACATTAGGCATGAGATCATAAAATGTGTGAGGATGTCTTCTCCTGGAGTACACGCCATTCTTTTCATCGTTAGACTTGGCAGGATGACTGATGAAGACAAAATTACACTGGAATATTTCCTGCAATGCATTGGAGAAGAATCTAAAAGATTTGTCATTGTTGTATTTACTGGAAAAGATGACTTGGAAGAGGCAGGTGACACCATTGACAACTATCTTGGAGTTCTTCCATCGAAACTGAAGCAGTTTCTGTTTGATACAAGTCATCGTTTTATTGCTGTCAACAACAGAGGGACAGATGAAGAAAAGGAAACCTTTACCAAAGATCTGATAGACATGGTAAAGAATATGGTTGTTGAAAACGGTGGCGAGTGCTACCGAAATGAGATGTATGAGAGATGTGAAGCTGATCTTCGAGAAGCTGAGAAGGAAAAAATCTACGAGAGGAGGCAGAAGGAATTCGAAGAGAAACTTAAAAAAGAAGTTGCTGCCTTGGAAAAACAGCTACTGAGTCAGCGTCTAAAAATGCAAGAAATGGAGAAACAACTTGAAAGGGAAAGAGATGAAGAAGATCGGTTGAATGAACATCTGAAAGCCTTACAACTGGTACTAGAGAAAGAAGATAGAAAGAAACGTCAGCGAGAAGACAAGAAATGACGGGCAGAACAGGTCATTGGTTGGCACTAGCCAAAGAATTACGTAACTTCACGTTGGGAATGGCAGCAGCAACCTAAAAGCTGCATTAGATAGAATGTAGAATTTAGTATCACTCATTTTCAGTGACTTATCCACCTAGGAATGACCATATTTTTAAGCCCGATGGAATGTATTTGTACATATACTCCTGACTGACTATGCTCTGGCTTTTACCTTTTCAATTTTAACGGAAAATCTGTTTGTATGTCTTATTTATATTCCGCTCCATCCTTCTTTAGTCTTCCATTTCATATTATTCTGGGTACGAGCGATTCTTCGGTAGGCTTCAAACTGCGCCCAACAAAAGTTGTTCAGTGAAGAATATGACTTTCAAAGTTTTACACCGAGTTTAGCCTTAGCCAGAAATATCACATCGGGGGACCCAAGAAACGGACTTGGTAGAAATAAGGAAGACCTTTGAAGGATCTGTGATAAAATCGATGTGTGCTGCCATTCCTTGTTTTGATTTGGACCTGAAATTCCTGACTTAACAGGTGAAATATTGCCTTGCATTGGCTTGTGTTTGTGACAAGTGTCAGCAGTGGGACATGATTTGCTCATTGCTATAATGAACACCTTTTTTACTTGCTTGTTTGTTTGTTTGTTTAACTCGGCAATATTGCCAGATGATATTGTAGCCTGTGAATAATCGAGTGTGGACCATACAATTCGGAGACTGACACCAAAGTATCAATCTACATAAACATACATGAACCATGTCAGCGGCCACCCGATCCACTTAGTCATCCTATAACAAAAATGGGTTGACATTGACATCACTGGTGTCTCTCTCTCTCTCACACTTTCTTTCCTTCTTTCTATCATACCAACCAATATCTTTCGTGGCTACTCCTATAGACTACCCTCTTGCAATGTACTTTGATAATGAAATATTTGTTCTGAAAGTAAACATCATGGTTTGTAGCTTGGTATGTATACAATAAAGAGCTAAAAAATCGAGATGAACTGTTTTACGTGTTCTGGCACTGTTCCAAGGTTCCATTGAATGATATATCTACAGAGGACTAAAAGTACAAGATTGTTTTGAATATATTCTTTTTGGAAAAGAACTCTCTTCAGCTACAGCTATAGAACCTGAATTTATGTAAATGAATCTGATAAATATATAAGGTCAGTGTTAAATCAAATTCCAAACTAATAATATCTTAGATAAACCCAATCAAAATGGTGACTTTGCATGCTACAATAATTTATTTAAAGCACCTTAGGGAGTCCGTATTTAACTCTGTGTTTCTCATCGCCTGACTGTTCCAAGAATGGGGCGGCCGGGCGGGCGAAAAAAAAAATACTATTTAATATTCAAGTATGAACGCATACTCACGGGAATCACGGCAAAGACAATGAAGGCTACCCCTAAATTCCATACCAGTGTGTATGTTCACTGGTAGGGAACTTGGTTACAGCGAGAGTGGAGTCTTTGTGAACAGAAACTTTATGATTTCTGACAGAGTCTTTGTGATTTGTCACAGAGTCTTTGCAGTGATATGTGTTATAAGATAAAATGGTAATTATAGCTTTAGTTTGTGGTATTAAAGACTATAATTTTCCTTATCAACACATAATATCATCTTGCAACTTAATAATTTACTTAAATACATATAGCAATAGCATAGATATCCTTTTTATCATAATTTGCAATGAAAGTCATTTTGATGATAAATATGAGTAAAACATCAAGAGTATGGTACATCATGAGTACAAAGTCACATTCACAATGCTTAACTCACATACTCGGTACAAAAAAAAATATTTTCAGAAGAATACAATTTAGTCAATGTTCATGATGATTTTGATGATGATTGTGATCTACACATTGTTGTAGATAATTGACAATTCTAAATAGGCTTCAAAATGTAAAGTGTTGTCTCATGTAACACAATATGTGAATAAACACTACAGACTGTAGTGTTATAGCCCTGTTCAAGCAAGTGGCGATTCATGGCTATTTTAATCCCATCGGTGAATTCATTACATTGGTTTTTACTGAACTATATATTTCCGGAATATTGAAGGAAATCTAAGCATGCAGAAAAATATGCCAAAAAGGAAGGAATGACAGGTCCGTCTTACAGCAATATTTATGCCAGGAGATTTTCAACCAAAGTGAACAGATTCTGCACAATTCTGTCATAAGTACTTCACGAAATATCCATACGCTTCATTGTGGAATTACAAGCATGAGACAAATATCCTTACATTATACTTGACCACTTATGATGTTCTCGTCAGCATTGTCCTGACATGGAACAGTTGAGCGATGAAATATGAAAGTTTTATATTCAGTTTAAATCACCTCGAATTATAGCTTCAAACATTCAGATGATCTTAAGACACCACAGATACATTAATAGAAAAGTCAAATTCCTATTCATGAACAAGATTTTAAATATTGTGTCCGGTCTATTCCATTTTTGGGATTGTGAATGTCTGTGACCAAAAATGAATTTTCTGTTACATCAATTTCATAATCACAAATTTTCTGTCACTATAGAGCTACGAGTATTCCATATGTCTTATTTCGGCTGATTAAACAGTCGGCCAATCAGATAAACCCAATCAAAATGGTGACTTTGCATGCTACAATAATTTATTTAATCATTTTTTTCAAATATATCAATTCATTATAGAACAAATATGAAAATCCGAACAATTTATGTCTTTAGCTGAATATCAAGCGTTTTCACAGTAATATAGCTATATGCGTTCCTGAAGGAACATAGCATTGAGGTAAACGTGGAATTAATTCCCTTATAAAGTTGTTTTTGGACGCCTACAGGACATTTATTGTACCTTACCCTCGCCTTGCAGAAGCTATAATTACAAAGAATCTGTCAGAAATCATAAAGAAGACTCCACTCTCACTGTAACCAAGTATCCTACCAGTGATACACGATATTGTGAACTCCTAACATTGCCTGATCGTAAATATACTAGGCATATATAGAAACTGTGCATACAAAAATTTAAAATCTAAATTTATCAATCCTGTATAGACACATGAGGATTTAAACTCAGAGATTAGTGACATGTATCCAACATGCATGCACGTGCCACGTTCCGTGACGTCAATGGGTTCGTCCTTGAGACGTGCAATACGTTGTTGCACGTGCATTCCGGGAAAGAGAAACAGAGCAAATGAATGCTACACAATACTGTCACTTTGGAAAGCTCAACCTCTGCCCTTGCGATCGATCAAAAAATAATTGAAACGCATAGCATGCCAAGGGTCACGTCTGCACAGCGTCATGAGGCCATTGGGATGGTCCGTGGGGAAATGTCTCAACGACAAGTGGTTGCACATTTCCACTGCCACCGGAACACCATTTCTGCCCTGGTGAAACGCTACCAGAACACAAATGACGTCATCGATCGGCCACTTTCTGGACGTCCATGTGTAACAACGCCAGGACAGATGGATAAGGGTGACCAATCTTCGCCGTAGGTTTCAGACTGCAGTGATGACTGCCCGAACCATCCCGGGACTTCGCTGTATCCTGCCTAACACAGTTCGACAACGTTTACGTCATCACGGGATCAGACCACGACGTCCCGCCATACGGCCTATCCTGACACAACGTCATCGACAAGCTCGCCGAATGTGGTGCCGAAATCATGTCCGCAGACCCTTGTTTTAGTGGAGAAATGTTGTTTTTACAGATGAGTCCAGGTTTAATATTTCCCATAGTGCTGGACGTCAACGTGCCTATAGACGCGTGGGGAGAACGTTATACACAGGCCTGTGTCTTGGAGAGGAAACGCTTTGGTGGTGTTCCGTGATGTTTTGGGGTGGAATAACAGCACGCCAAAGAACTCCTTTGGTGATTGTTCAGGGCAACTCACCTGGTGTGGGCTACAGGGATCAGATTCTTCGACCTGTGGCAATTCCTTTTCTTCAACGTCATGGCCCTGGGTTAACATTCCAACAGGACAAGTGCCCGCCCTCATACGGCAAGGGTTGGATTTCTTGCAACACCACAACGTTGGCTTACTGCCTTGGCCTGCAGATTCACCGGATCTCTCTCCCCGATAGAGCATGTTTGGGACGAGATGGATCGACGTCTACGCCGTCTGCCTCATCCGCCAGATAATGTCATGGACCTTGCAACAGAACTTTAGAGAATCTGGCGTGACATCCCACAAGCCTTCCTTGCACGTTTGATAGGCTCTATGCGTCGTTGATGCACTGCTGTTCTCAATGCCAATGGTGGACATACCCGTTATTGAGCTTGTGACATGGTCGTTTGAACCCTGTCCCGCTTGTGGACTTGTGACGTCATTGTGATTGACTTTTCAATTGAAATTCTCCCGACTTGTTATGGTCTCGTGATCCCTCCATTAAAGTTTTTATGTACTTTTGACATTGTTATCGTACTTATCAACTGGGATAATATTTTGACAATGCACAGTTTCTGTATGTGGCTAGTGTATTAGTGGATGCCAATCCAAAACCGTAACAGGGAGTAAAGATGAAACAGTTGCTTCCATTTAAATACCTGCTGAAGATTCGTTTTTCGTTTTCGTTTTTCGATGAATTTAATACATTTTAAACTAAATTTTATTTTTTTCTTGTGGCGAAACATTTTTGTTTCAATGGGCCGTGTATATTTGAGACTCGTCGGCGCAAAGTTTAGAAATAAAAATATTTTTGTTATTGTATGGGCAGTTGGGATTTTTATGGGCGGCGGGAGATGAGAAACACAGAATTAAAGACAGACGCCCTTATGTGTCGGTCACATCTTTTTCAACACACTGATCTAAATCGCCAAGATGAAGTGGTGATTCGGAAGTGTTATATGGGACACTCTAATTTATGGCCATTCATTCTTATTCAAGGGAGAGGATCCCCCTCAATATATTCCATGTCACAGTCCTTTAACTGTCAAGCACCTTTTGTTGGAATGTGTTGAATTTCCGCTCATTCGGCTACCGCGTTATACCCTTCAAACTATTGGAACTTTTCAATACCGTTTCTAAATATGTAATTTTAGAAGAAAAATTAAACTATATGATAAGATGTAGATTTTAAATTCTGAATGTCGGTTTTTACCTTTAACAGAATGAGTGAGTACGGTTCTACGCCACTTTTAGCAACATTTTAGCAATATCACGGCGGGGGACACCAGAAAGGGGTTTCACTGATTTTACCCATGTGGGGAATCAAACCCGGTTCTTCAGCGTGAATAGCGAACGCTTTAACCATTAGGCTACCCCACCGTCCCTTACCTTTAACTATGATAGTTGACTGAAGTTTTAGTGATCTTCTTCGTCACTTTTATTCTGTAATCGTTTCTTTATTAAAATAGTTGTTT